ACTGTCCATATCATGTATCCAGATTCTGAACCAGTATATTTGTTAATGCATGTATACAGCTGTTTCACTTCCTTTTTCTTTTATGAATATATGCTGTACACATGTACGGTCATTACAATGTCCATGTGTGTACACGCTGTATACAAATGCCTGCTCTGAAATAGTGTTTTTTACACTGAATGTGTACACATGTATGCATTAACTCTATCCATCAATCCAGTGATTGTTTTACTGTACATGTACATGTACGTACTGTCATTATTCTTTCAAATTTCTCTTGCCTGTTTTGATCAATAAAATTCATTCCCAAACCTCCTAAATGTACTCCATGGACCAACATTAAACTTTCAATGTAAAAAATCGTGTCATGAGAAAACACAATCACTGGAACTGTACTAATTTATTCTACCGTCAATTTAACCCTTCATGATGTACGTATACATGTACCCAGTAGCTGGGTAGCAACCCAGTAGCGACTGACAAAACGAATTACAAACAGAAGCAGTGGAACAAATCTTCTAAATTTGAAGTCCTGTTTTAAAAACTCAAATGGACAGAAACTAGCAAATATAAAGTAATTATGCATACACGTACATGAACTCAAACTTGTGCAGCAATTTAGAAAACAAACTGGTAAAGTAACGTACATGTACATGTATGTGTAGGCCTGTAACATGAATGGACCCATGGTGAAAGAAAAGAGGTCATACTGTCAACTTTGACTGTTCGAAATGTGTTCATGGCACGTGTACATGTACATGTACCTGTGCATTACATTTGTGTACATGTACACTTTATCTCCATATCATGTGAGGTGTAACTTTACAGAGCAGGCACAGATCCCCCGCCATTTGACAAGCAGTTATATGTAGAGATACATAGGCAGCTTAAACACACAGTACATATTGGCTCAATATTTGGCAGGTGGGGCAGAGTAAATGTCATTCCGGTGAGCAGACAGGACGGAGGCTGAAGGCCAGTTGGGGATGAGGAAAATTAAAATCAGCCGTTTCGTGGTACATGTACATAAATACAGCTACCATAGTTTGGACACATGCTCATTGTTCAGTGACTTAGCAGTACAATTCCAAAAGAGCTGGCATTTTACTACCGCTATACACTGTACCAGTGTACCCGATAGGCATGTACATGTACCACAGATGTGAGGACTGCACACACAGTAACAAGTACTGTAGTGTACCTTGGGGGTCAATTCATTGTGGGGACAAATTTCTGTCCCCAAGGAAATAGTCCCCTTGAGGCAAGGCACAGCACGCCAAGGCACATGTACATGGACTGTATACATACATGTACCGGTATCCGTCCGTGCAAAAACAGCTTAAACAAAATGTGCATGAAGGCCTAAATTTAACATACAGGTACATGTGCCAGAAGTCTATGACATGCATGGATCATGGATTGTCAATTGAAACAAAGTATTGTATAGTGTGCAGTGTGCACAATGATTAGATGCAAGAAAGTACAGTCACATGAACAAGGCAAGGACAATGAAAGTACCTTGTATACATGAACATGTATGAATACATCTAGTGTATTCTGACGCATTTTGCCCAAACTTTATTTCACACAGCAGTAAAATGACCCCTTGGTCGGGTACGACTGATCACAGACAATCCAAACTGGCCATAATCAAGATTGGCTTTGTTTACAAGAGACACACCTCCCCACAATCCCCCCCCATCTCCCTCACACCACCAATCCCAGCCCACATGCACACCTGTCCTGTGCCCATCCACCATCCCCACCCCCCATCCACTGGCCAGACATGCACACTAATTCATGTCATAATGTCATTACAAATTCCAATATCTGCAGCGATACTCGACAGATGTTAGATATGACAGATGTTGGATGTTGTGCTGTTGTTGTAAGGGGGGGGAGTGGGACATCACAAAACGGTTCAGCGCGGCTCACACAAATGCACATACACTGCACACTGTGCATGCAGGATTAGGCCCCGAATGCGATCAATACAGCCTCTTGCTTTCAATTAATAAAAAGCCTATACACTGTATATCCATTACATTTTATGTAGGGCACACATCTACTGTCCGATGTACATGTACATGTACAGTGTAAAAACATGTACACTGGTAAATGTACATGTACATGTATCTTTCTTTGGAGACCTGTAGTATAGTAAATTTGAACAAACACGAGCACAGCAAATATCTACAATGTTCAGTACCAGTGCTAAAAAGTATCTAAACAATTTTTGCATACATGTACGGACTTGTACATGTACATGTACATACATGTCCAGTACATGTACATGTATACATGAATTACATACCGGTACATGTAGTCACAGAAATGTATACACGTTTACAATGTACATGTAATTCAGTACATACATGTATATACTACACTGTACATACATGTACATAATTACGGTACATGTATGTACATGCATACATGTATCGTACATGTACATGAACGGTACCTGTACATGTATACATGTATGTACATGTACATGTACATGTATGTACTGTACTGTGTAGAAGTATACAGGTACCGGCACGGTACAATAGACCACAAAGGAGTACATGTACATGTACATGTACCGGTATGCCTACTGGCATGACCAGTACATAGGAATGTACACGTACATGTACATGTTTTACTGTGTGCATAGAAATTCAGGTACTACATGTACATGTACAGTAAATCTTGTACAAAAATGTATTGGTATCGGTGAGTACATGTACATGTACACGCACTGGTAACACACTCGTACATCTGGCTAACATGTACAATGTAAACACGGCAATGTTTTGCAAGCAGGAAAAGCAATAACACCATACGGCACACGAAAGTTTTGCCAAAAATTAACTCAATGCACAAAATGTCACAGCGCTATTTACATACACGTATCAAGCGACAACAGTTGGCTAACCTTTCCATTAACCGACAGATTGAAATATCATATACATGTACATGTTTATGTATGTGATTGTATTCATCATCAACATGCTCATCGACAGCCCCCTACATTTTTTTCTAAACCGCAGAAATATTTCGAATAAAATGAAACGAGCAGCCAGGAAAATATTAATTTCAATTGATTTTCAAGGGGATAAGAATACCAAATGCTTGGATAGAAGGATGGAAATACATTTTTTGTAAATTATATAATTTTTGTATCAAGAACATACATGTACATGTACCGGTACATGTGTACTTTAGGGTGTCCTGGAGGAAAAAACTTTATCAATATGCGCATTTGAAACATCTGATAACAAGATGTATCAAGCCACTGATTACATTTAATAATCTCATATATTCGAATTTGCCATTACATATCCATAGTGCGAATATCATTTAATTCAAAGTACCCATACATGTATGTGTGTTCTGTTGCCTGAAGAGCCAACTGATCTGGTGAGCGCAAGATTTATGGAACACACTGTACTGGTATTCCATGATTCAATGTCACGATGTACATGTATACTGTATTTTATACTGGCATGCTTCAATGCACAACTGCATAATGTGTAATATACTGTTACATGTACATGTACATAAACATGTACACATGTGTACATGTACATGTACACTGTAGCTGGTAACAAGATGTGTGGATATGTGTACATGCACATGCAGGCAACATGTCCTTTCTCTATGTTCCTTCACATACATGTACAAAAATCCCTGTACATGTATGTTTTACACAGTCCCTTCCCCGTGGTTTATCACTTCTCGGTACGCAGCGTGTGAGCAATGAGATGTGAAAGGGTCGGTGTGCCCAGCCACCCAAGCACCAACACTCGTGAGGTTTTTTTTTTTTTTTTTTGCACATCACTGCTCCCTCCATCATGCCGCGCATAATCGCTTGCCGTCACAGTAGTTTCTCGGCTGAGAGCAAATGAGGGGAGGAAACGTGAATGAGAAGAATCGGCCCAGATTCCTTTGCTGCCCTGTGCTGCATGCCTACTGGAAGGAGGTCAGGGTTTAGTGTGCCTTTATTTTTCAAACCGAGACTTGGATTGATTTATGTATTGAGATGCGTACAATCACTGGGTATGAATATGTCTGGGACTTAGCACGACACGGACAAAGTGTACGGTGTACATCTGTGCATCAATGCACATGCATACATGTACTGTACATGTACTGGTACACTGTAACTTTTAGTTAGGCAAAGATTTGTTTCAGAAAACCTAAAATCAACAATACATGTACCCTTTAAATGGAAATTTTTTTTCAGGTTTGTTGCGTTTCGTTTCTTTAATGCTGTTTGCTGTGTTCGGTTTTGTTACTTTGTTTTGTGTTAGTTTTTTTTTATTTTTAGTTCTGGGGAGATCAACATACATGTATTTGGATCAATTTGGCTTATTCACATACAGTGTAGATGAGAGAGACTCTGCTACACGAACACATACCGGTAAGATTAAAACATCAAACCCTCTTTTTTTGATTTCTGATATGTTTATTTTACTTCTAATGTATTAAGATTTCTCAAAAGAAATTGTCAAACAAAATCCTTGCACACTTTGATAATTTTTTCCTTTGACAATATACAGAGTCCAAAGACGTACATGTATACATGTACCAATATTTGCAGTGAATAGGATTTTTACCTGAAGCCTTCAGTGGAACTCCCACAATGCTGTTCTGCATTGCATTGTGAGCCAGTCTTATTAAATAAAGACATCTTGGGATTATTTAAGAAGTCAATGAGTCTGTCAACAGATATGGTGTGCAGAATACCGGGGTATCTCATCTGCTCATTAAGTTTGTATGTACTTGTACAATAAACGTGTTTTCCATCGTTATAAAACATATTTTACAGGACTACAATATGCGTCATACCCCTTCAAACAAACAATGATGCCTTGAAGTCCAAATCTTTAAAGCCAAATGAAACTTGACATCAAGAACGTTTACACGGTGCACACAAGGTTCTCGGTAGAGGCTAGAGCCCATACCGAAGAAGTCAGGGTGACCAACTATGAATTGAAAACTGAAACCTCACTTACTCTCATCAGGCTGCGGAGCTGAGAGAATGTCGCTGTGCTTCTTCTTGACCTCCTCAACATTGCTGGCAATCTTGTCAATGTTATTGCGAATTTCTTCCACCTAACACAAGAAAAGGTACCGGTAGTTGTAATAAAGCACCTCCACAGGCAGAAAACCATCTTTGAAATGTTTTTTTTTTAACTAGAGAAACCAATTCTCAGAGCTCATCTTAAACCATCCTAGCAGGACTGCCAGATTTTATGATTAAAATTTCAGGGTAGTCAAAGAAACCTGTGCCAAGTAAGTTTCAGTTTCAGGAAAAAATTGTTGATGCAAGTCTGCATACACATAGCGGGCAATCTTGCCTGACATTTCCGGATTACTTGTAGTTCCAACTTAACGGTGGTTAACTGACTGTAAACTGGGGATGTTTCAAATCAGATGTATCAAAATACATGTACATGCTTTCAATAATTGACTAAAGATTCTAGATACATGTAAATGTGTACACATGTGGGTGACATCTATACAAACTGTAGTCAATATGGCATTGCCTTGGCACTTATAATTTAGACCACCTGATCAAAGACAAGATGTGGTTTGGAGAGACTAACTGGAATATGTTCACTTACATGTACAGTAACATATACAGTATGTACATGTATATGTAAATTGTTTGCATACTGTACTGGTGCGTGTATTTGCAATTACAGAGAATGTGTGATGACAGGTAGACTTAAATCTTTCCATGCCTGACTCAGACTCAACAGTTGGCATTGAGTCTTCTCAGGTCTGAATTTGTGAAGGTGCCTCACATACAAAGGTACATGTACATGTATGTACAAGAACTGAACTTGGCCTGCTTACTGTAGACATCACTTTGTACATGTACACGTCTAATGTGTACGTGAACATTAAACACAACCCCCCAAGGGTTGCTGGCCTTAACCTTCCCATTCACACAAAGTTAAATAGCCATATGGGACTTTGTGCACAGAGGTTGTTGGACTTTGTTTTTCTGAGGTATGCCAAACCCAATGCAAAAGCCAGCTGTTATGGGCCTACCAGACCTATCCCCACAGAATTAAACACTTCGCTGCTGTTTAATTCTGTGTCGTTAGGTAAGGTTAGGGTTAAGCTGGAGTATCATATGCAAAATGGCACTAAGTGCAAGGATCTCTTGCGAGGCAGACATTAAGCAAGACTTAAAAAACACAGTGACGTCACGCTTTGTGTACCTGTGCGCATTCCTATGAGGGTGCCATGGATCGTGTCCCACTTAAGGAAAGCGTACACATAAACAAAGCGTGTCATCATAATGTTGTACAGAAGGTCTCCTGACCTTGGCCAGCTTTGGACTTGAGAAGGGATTAAGCAATGGAAGCGTTTGGAAATTATTACCTGCTCAAAGAACTCATCCATGTACCTCTCGCTGTCCACGTTGACCGACACATCATCTGGCCCCACATCATCTTCATCCCCCTGCAAAAGAAAACAAACACTGAAGAGTGAAACCTGGGAACGAATCCAACAACCCTGGGCCGAATTTCCGAGGGTTGCTCCTAAAGGAGGCGATACTACAGAATAAACAAAAGTGATGAGCAGAAATGAACACGGAAGCTGTCTGAAGCAATTACTCTGGGTTCCTAGACCAAAAGATTCTGGCCAAATACATGTATTTCGAAAATTTTAAAAACTTAAATGTACGCAAAACTGCCTTTCTTTCATTACAAGTATTTCCCAACACACATACAGGTGCATACTTAATTTTGATAGCCTTTTTCCAGTTTTCTTAATTTCTCAATTTGATCTTGACTACGGTACTTACTGGCACTTTTGTATAACTTCTGACAATGTTGACTTTTAAACTAACAGACAAATGCATCCTGTATCCCACACACATGTATTATGCGACACACCATTGTGTCATGTTCTACAAATACTGTCAATAGTAGCTACATGTACCAGACCTACACTGTACAATTTATACATGTCTGAAGAATGGTCAGGTCAGGGAACCAGACTAAGAAGTGATATGCTCAATGTGCACACTTGTTCATGAAATTCTACATGTAGCTGGTAACCCAATGCTCCAAAAGAATTCATGTACATGTACTAGTAAATGTATTTCCCTTGCCCAGCAGATTTGCATCCTCAGCACAGCCATTTTCTTTTGAGCAACTACATGTACCAATTGCTCTTTTCAGACTCAAAATACATGAAATATTGGTACTATACTTACATGCATGTAGTTTAGCATAATTTTAATCCATGTCAGTACAAGTAAGTTTCAGACATCTGTCACTTTCCATTGTTGCAAAATGCCAAATATTTAAAAACTTAGGCTATCATCTAAAGCAAAATGAAGGGCATCTGTGATCATGGAATAGTCTGCGAGTAAGGTCTACCCTATGAGAAGGCCGTATGCCAACTCCCACACATGCTCTGTTCCCCAATGACCTTGCCTTTTGGAAGTACATGTACTCAGTACTGTACCAAACTGACTCATCGGCAGGAATTTAAAAAAAAAACAAAATGAACATGTACTGTACATGTACCGGTGCATGTACACCATGTACATTTAGTGCATTACATTTGATACACATGCACTGTACATGTATGTATTTTGTTCCAAAAGAATTTCCCATTCAACCCCACCAGAGTTCCTGCATTTCATAATTTCTAGTGTTTAGATATTCCAGGGATTTTTTTATTCATCAGACTAACAGGCAATGAAAGCAGGCCAAAATTTGTAAGACACCGTCCAAGTTTCAAAGTACATGTACCAGCACACTGCTCTTTTCACTTACTTTCCTATAGTTCCACATGTGCGCACGTACATGTACGTGTACAATGTACACGTACGTTTCGGTACATGATGTACATGTGCCTACACTAATGTACACAAACAAAAGTCTACATGTAAATAATAAGGGGATGGGCAGATTAATTCAATACTACTTTTGTCCTTGCTCATATAATAGAAAAAAAATTGCGTATACATGTACATGAACAAAAGTATACCTGCAGAATGTACAACGTTTGTGAATGAATACATGTGCGGTCTTCCTATCACAAAACAGACAGCTAAAACGATGTGACTTCACACACATGTTACCTACATGTACATGTACTGTAGGTACAGTACTGTACCGGTACATGTATTGGTACTAACATACATGTAAATGATACCGGTATGTTAATGCATATTTGCATATTTGCTTAGTCGAAAGAGAGGCCAGAACAGCAAGCTGTGGCATAATGCATGTATTCTCAGCTTAGCAACATGCTTGCATCAATGCACTCGTAAACAAGGTAAATGTGGAGTGTACTTGTGCATGTACATGTACAATGCACATGCACGGAGAATACTGGTACCGTAGGAGCGCCCATTACATGCACATGTATGTATGTGTACATATAGATAGCAACTTCTATCCAAACAAGCGCTAGATTCCCTACCCCAGCTGATGCTATTCAGGCATGGCCTAGCATCGCAATAAGCCTTTTGCGATTTAAATTTGAATAAAATCTGGTACACTGAGTTATCTGATTGTACACTCCGTACACTAAAGACACTGTTGCTACATATTACATGTACATGTACCTTGTGATATGGGGCAAGCTTTTCCATAGCAACCACCATCTCTGGAATGGACTGGTTCCTTTGTGCCCTTCTTATCCATTGAAAACAGTGTATTGGTACAAGGTGTCTCTTACGTAATGAAGCAGAAGCTTGCCCCAAATCATGAGGTATACATGTACAGGTACACTGCAACAACAGTGTCTTTAGCATGGAGAATTCAAATTATTATATTCACATGAATTTAAAGAACTCGGCATACCGGATGTTATTCAAAGTTATGTTTACATGTAACTCGCAAAAGGTTTATTTAGTAACAGGTCTGTGAACATCATTTGACACCCTGTGCACAAAACCTATGAGCAGGTTTCCCTGCTAAATGTGACCTATCAGGACTTATCACTTTCTGGTGGCTGATATGACATTGCAGGGAAACTCTCCTCAAACATTGTAAGGTAAAATTAGTGAATGTCCATGTCCGGAACTCTTCCCAAACACATTAGCGAGGAGTTAAGCACATGTGGATGTGATCTCGCCGAAGCTTGACACGGACGGCCACTCTTTAAGCTCAGCATGCATGCTTGTACACGAAGCCCGCCTTGTGTCATGTGTGTTTTCTCAATTACTTCATGCCTCATAAATCCAGCTTCAATTTTTCAGCAGGTCTTTTCTTTCGAACAGCACGGAAGAATATTGCAGGTACATGTACCTCTAGGGTTTGTTGCAATGAATTAGTGTGGATCTCTGTTTTCTACATGTCTTGTTTTATAAGCACATGTACACAGAGTACATGTACATGTACATGTACTGAGCATAAAATATTTCTGAAGTACCCAAAATCAGGACATGGCTTTAAATGGAGACATTGCTCAGTGAGATGAGTGAAGATGTTGATTTAACATGAAGTTGATATTACACACGTGTAAGTGCGCATCATGAAACAAACCCTTAGGTTTGTTATTCTTTTTTTTTTTCAGATGTGCCAGCATGGCATTGAACATGTGCACTGGGTGTTCTGGGGGTGTGCAGAGGGTGTTCTGGGGGTGTGCAGACGGTGTTCTGGGGTGTGCAGAGGGTGTTCTGGGGGAGAGCTTTAAAAATTTCACCACCAAAAATTTTTGTCTGATGCCATGCTTTCATTGTCATTGTGAATAAAAAAATTTGTATTCACGAGATGTGATTCAGACCTAGGGCAAATTAAAACTTGACCCACAAGAAAATCCCCCAAAGTGGCAAATCATAAAAACCGTGCAACATCCTGTAACTTACTTTACATGAATGAACATATTCAAACATTTTTAAAACCTTGAAACTGTAATCTAGAAAAAGTACATCATGATCCATGAATCCAACCCAGACCTTCATGGTACTTCCAGAGCTGTAAGGTTTATACACATGTACCTTAGAGTTCTGGAAGTACCTTCATGGTATCTGATGCTACCAGTACATACATGTATACATCACAAAATCCCTCAGGTTACATGTATGTCAGCATGGTTTAACACGTTTAACCCTAACACCCCAGAGTGATTTAGGAACCACACCCATTCAAACAAATTCCAACACCATATGGCAAACTGTGCACAAAAACTGTTGGACTCTGTTTATTTTGGGTATGCCTGAACCCATGTTAAAGCACAAGCAGTTTATGGGTACAGTACCCAGCGTTACAAATTCACACACTTTACTGGTGTTCAATTCTGCGTGGTTAGGGAAGGTTAGGGTTAATGCTCAATGCCGACTGCACACAAAACATTACATGTAACCTGTTCACTACTCATACATGCAAATGGAGCTGGCAAATACATGGCACACTTTGTAAGAAAATATCCAAAAGCCATTAACTGGCAGATTTTTCAGAAGTATGGCATTACCGATACCCCATACAATGACATTTGCAACATACTCGTGCAAATTACGGTAATGTAGGTTTTATGACAGACGATCCAACCCGTTTGCAGACGACATTGTTCCTCTTGCTTTGGTGACATCCCATGTTCTTCATATTATTTCATATAGGGTTTTACTCAAGCTACTAAAACATTTAGTGTAGGCCCCAGTTAAAGAATAAATTTTGGTCAAAGTAGGCCGTACTACATGTACCTGCACGAATTAAGGGGATGAGCCGACATTAGCGTGATCACATGATATTTCACATACTGTTACATGTAAACATGTAGGCCTATGCTGTAATCATGGCCATAATGGTCATGATGAAACTGCCAACACAGTCATTCAGTGTACAGTGATGTACCGCACACCTAAATCATATGCATTGCAATCAGATGCACAGGCAATGGCTAGCATGGCTAGTGTGGGGATTTTTTTCTTGACACAAGCTCAGTATATTACCCTCTTAAACGATCCCAGTCGGTCTCTCATCTTGAAGAAACCACAGTAATATTCCTACAGAGATGATCACGAGTGTATCTTCCGAGGAAAAGCAGCATATATCCGGCGATGAAGGTTTCCCCGCCCGTGCCCACACCTAACGATTTCACCCAGCGTAAACCCAACGTCCGCCATTCATCTTCGGTGAAAATTCGGTGTAGGCGTAGTGCTCTGATTTTGGCAGTGTAGTTGGTGCTAAGCGTGTTTTTGCATCAGTAGTGTGGGGAAAACAAAATGCGGGTAGGTTGGTGTATGGCAAGCCATGCGGACTAAATTCGGGGCAGTGCTAGTTGACAAAGCTTTCGGGTTCTGTCGAGAGAATAAGCTTGATATGCCATGATGAACCCATGCCACAACAGGTATGACGTCATAGATAATGAAAACGGCCACTTGTCCCAATACGGTGATGTCGAGAAAATGGCAAAATCAAATTTTGTGGGCCAACTTCAAAAAAAGAATAAACATTAATAATGCTCTGTAGGCATCATCGGTCTACTACCGTAATAGCTTGTCACTGAACACCAAAATCCTGGTCACGCGCCAGTGCCATAGCGAGGTCATTTTGACTGGGGAGTCAAGGGTAAAATAAGATGGGGTGCTGTTTCTTGCTTTTCTTCTTTCTTAACTGTTTCTTGTCCTTGTTGTTGTCGTCATTGTAACCACCTCCACTTGATCTTTTCCTCGATCCATAAAATCGAACAGTGGGGATGGGTGGTCAACATCATGTTTATTATGGCTGCACTTTTTCATGGCTGCAAAATTACTGAAGTCCACACGACGCTAAAGGCAAAAAGTCAGTACAGGGTAAACGGACGCTCGGGAAATAATGGGCACTCGTGGGTAAAGTGGGCGGGGGCGGGGTTAAAAAACACCTTCCCCCAATGGTTGTTACGCCACTGACTCTGAGTCTAGAAGACCTATTCTTTCAGAAGCAAGAACGCATACAGTCCGTCGCGCCAATCTCTTGCGTACCCCACACCTTTTGTCAACAGTTCAATTACGAGGGGGGTATTGATTTCATTACGAACAAGATTATTCTGAACAGAAGAGTGGTTATAATTCAGTGTTTATTTGCAATAATCCGGATGAATAGCGACCGTGACTCACGGTGGGAAACAACCCTTGATTCGGCTGCACCTATCCAAGTTTGATGGAAAGCAGAACGTGTAGTTGGTATTTTTTTTCCTAAGAGGCCCTCTTTCGGCCCTCTTCGGTCAGTCCGAGTACCAGCCGCTTCGGCGTGTCGGTACAACAAATCGCGAATGGAATCAACTTAATTGTTCATCGGAGAAACTATCAACAGAACGATCAACAAGTGACTTGGTCACAAAAATTGCTTGTAAAAACTCTGAATAATGAGCATCATTTCGAGCTAAGAAACTGATGGGAATTTTTTTCTGTAAATACTTCAAAATAATGGTCAACACTGTTTAACTAATTGTATACACATTAAACGGTTTGATTAACCCTAACACTCCTCAATCCTTCACCTGTTGGAGGACTGAGGAGTGTTAGTGTTAATGGTATGACACTTGTATGCCGTGGTCACAAATTTCAGGATCTGAAAACTCCAGATTCTGGCTTAGGGGGAAAAACAGTCATTCCTTTCTCTGTTCTTTCTCTGTTAAACTTCTTTATGATGTGCAGTATTTTCAGCAAGTCGACGAAAGAATACATAAATACCACCAGACTTTGCAAGGCTCTTTGTATTGAAATTACACAACATTACAGATAATCAGGAAGTTATTGAAATAGCAACGGTAAATTAATTCTTTCATCCACCAAAAAGAGAGGTGACAGTTACGCCTGAACGAAAATAAAAGTGTAAATGTTTTCTAGGTTGGAACGAGAACGGAACGTGTTAGAAATTTCAACATGTGAACCGGGACGCTTAGGTGAACTCGAGACGGTGTTGTGCAAAATAGACCGTGAAAGTACAATTGAGGTTGTAAAAATATGCAATAAAACATAGAATACTGTAAAATTCTGGAAGTATTCCTAAATTAACTATTATCATTAAGGTATTTTCGTGGCCTAATTTTGTAATTCATTCCAAACAGGACTTACATTTCGGGCGAATAACAAACAATGACTATATACTTGCTATTCTCTCCTTGGCCGAAAGCTCGAATCAACCGATGACTAGAACTATAAAAATTCAAAAGCCAGTACCTAAAAATGACAAATAAACGATGTGAAAAAGGTGCCTCACTGGCAACGGTTAATATATACATTTATTTTTGTCAAATAACAAGCTCTTCGCTGTATTATGTTCTAGAGGAAGGACAAATTCAATCATCGTCTGGGAGATCTGCGTTTGGGGCATCCTTTAATAGATATGAGGGATAATAAAAGGCATCAACAGCTGCTCCATCGGTCGTCGACATTTTGCCAAATATGTAAGGAGTTCTGGCGAAATGACAGAATTGAGCAAAAGTCGAAATTCTGTGGTTTTATAAAGAGAATAAGATTCTTCGCAGAGTGCCGTTTGCTGCATTTGAGCAGTGCTCTCTTTTGAAATCTTCCGACTGTTTAAACGACGCAAATAGCGATCCACCAAAGAAATATATTGACAATTTCAGGAAAAAGACTTCCTGTCAAATGGAGGTTAGCAGTTTAAAAAAATGAATTCCCCTTTTTAAAGTCAGGTCGTGTCACATGTAATCGCACGAGCGATCTGTGCATCTGTATAATGAGCAGCGCCCTCTATTGTATGTCCATCCGCCCCGGTACAGCCGGGCAATTTATCCTTTCTCTCTCCCTCCCCCCTCCATTCGCCGGCACAAATTTATGCCACTGGATGTGATCGAGCTCTGCTCGCCTTAGAGCCTCGTTATAGTGATCGTTTTTTTTTTTTTCATACTGAGTGCACTTTCACGTTGGGGATCGCAAAGTGAACAAGTTACATTCAGGAAACCAAAGGTTGAAGGTATACTTACCTCGATGTATTTCTCCAATTCTATCTCAAAGCTTGATCTATGGAGACTGCAATGGCTCTACACAGACTCAAGTTTGGGATCTCCCGCCAGCCTGAGCCTGTAGGCCCGGGCAGCAACAGGACCGTGGATCCAGTGCAGAGTCAGACGCAAAGAGTTTTTAAAAACCAGAGCTCCTTTGCTTCGGTGATTATTACTTTTATTTATAAAGGGTGGCCTTATCAGTTACAAAACTGCTTTCCACGAGGGCCCTGATTTGATTTGAAACATAAATTGATTAATATGTGGTAATATTATAAATAATATTATTGAAGATAACCAAGTAAAAAAAACGGGTTAAGTTTTAAAAGAAGGGGAATAAACACTGTAAAGCACAGAGAACAACTAAATCTAGCAAATAAAATGTTGAAGGCAATACATTATAATGAATAAATATTACAAACCACAATACAAAACATTAAAATTCCGTTCGCCCGGGATGTAAAATACAAAATAAATATATTTAAGAATAAAAGTGGAGTAAAAACATGGAGTACCGGTGAAATACGGAAATCAAAAACGAACTTCAAAACGAGGGAAAAAAAAACAAAACAGATAAATATCTTTAAATACCACGTGACAAAAATAACTCAGAAGAAACCGTTAAATATGTTAAGTTGATAAGTTGAAAACTCCCTCAGAGTTCGTAAAAGCAGGAAACTGCTGTGAAAAGTTTGATTCAAAATAACGATATCCGAGACTCGGGCAGCGTTTTTACTTCTCATCTTGGACTTGCTCTTTTATTTGGGCCGGTAGTCATCAGGCGTCTATACGACAAGTGACTGAGGAAACCAGAGAAAGTCATCGCCTTTCACATTATTTCAGGCCTGTTGCCCAAGATCTCCATACATACTAACTGGTGGTCACGTCAAAGGCTGAAGTTCGTAGGTGGCGTCTCAAGTCCCAAAATATTAGAATTAGTTTCCTCGTTCAAAAGTTATTGATTGTGTTATCCAAATCATGAGCTCTTAATCACCATTGGCTGTCGTATTATGAATGTTACAGGCCGTGGAGTTAATATTCTTTAACCCGTAAATTCTTTAGTTATGCAACAACTCGACTCCTTAACTGGTCGCCAAATGTTTTTAGTAGCGCTGAATTTTGAGTCTCAGTAACCGAACTCGAAGCAATCGTCCTGGCCCAAGTGCACGGACAATTCAGACTTAAAAGAAGTCTTTGTTGACAAACAGAAGTTGGTTAAGAATACGAGTTTCTTTTATTCTCAAAACTTCGCCTCATGCCAAGCTCTTCCCAGTCAAACAGGGTGTTGGTGACGAATATCCTCCTGTTTGCCAACAAGTATTTCACCGCAGCAAAATACTTCACATATCAAGTATTTTCTCAACATGAAGACACTTCACAGGCTCAAAGCATCGAAACTGGTCTCATCAGACTTTAGCTCTCTGCTCGCAAAGTTCCAACTCGATTTCTCAACACACGTTCAGGGTTTTTATACTCTACAAATCTACTATATTAACATAGTTACTGAATGTAAGTCACAAGTAAATTATGCAGTAAGGTTACATCACCCTGCTCTAAATTGATGACTAATTCCATTGACCAATCAGAATAAAAATGATGTAAACACATGACTTATATCAATTTCTTAATAATGCTGAACATTTAGACACCACAACATCAAGAAATCAAAATATCAGGAATCAGGATAACGTGAAACCAAGCATCAGCATATTGCATGAGGATGTCACTTCATCAAGATAATGATGAGGCTAATTCGAAACTGTGCCTTTATTTTGATTTGTGTTGTCATTATTCACGCTATTAATATTACAACACTAAGAACTAACATTACAAGACGGTGTTTCCAACGTTATTCTCTAAGAATAATGCTCTGGAAATGCCGTTCACATTCCTGCAAAAGACAAGAGAAAAGAAAATGAGTGCAAAGTGGACGCGATTCATAAATAAAACAACATCCATATAATACTGCAACCCTGGGGAGGCAGGTCGGTCTTTGATAACACATCAATACAAACATCATGTCAGTTTGTTACAATTTACCATTTATCTGTGATTAAGCATGTTACCATTGTCTGTGATGACGCTTCCAATACATCACTTGGCAAAATGTAGCTCATTTCATCTGCTATGTGCGACTAAAATATTGGCTAACGTTTAAACGGTGTGTAATTGTTCCACTGAACTTTTTTGACCGAAATGAACGCAGGCTAC